TTCACATAGTCTGTTATCCCAACAACAGCCAAAGTGATCTCTTAGAAACATAAATTTGATCTCATTTCTTCCATTGTCAAAACTCCTCCATGGACTGTCTATCATATTTAGATCAAAAACTTAGATAACACCTTGGTGGGCTGCAGGCCTGTGCCACCTAGCTCAAGGTCACCTCTGTTCCCCACAGCTCTTCTCCTGGGTACACCAGGGTAACCTCCTTGACAGTGTTTGTTTATTCTAAGGCCGTGGTTCTTAACCTATGGGTCCTGACCCTTTGGGGTCGAATAATCATATCAGATATTTACAACTCATAACAAATAAAAAATTTCACATAGCAAAATTAGAGTTGTAAAGTAGCAGCAGGTCACCACAGCATGAAGAGCCATGTTAAAGGGTTGCAGCATGAGGAGAGTTGAGAAGCCCAGCTCTAGGGCCTTGCATATGCCAGGCCCGCATTCTACATTAGGCCATGTCTCTACCCCCCTTTATACTTTTTGACACAGGGTCTCCAGCTCCAGCTCCGGGGCATCCAATGACCTCTTCTGGACTTTGAGGCTATCTGCACGCACATGACATTACATACATACAAACAGACATGCACACACACACCTTCACAGCTCCGTTGAGATGCGGTTCACACAGAGTGCACAGGGCATTGCGTTTTAGTGTCGTCAGAGTGCTGCAGCCATCTTTCTTTTTTAAACGTGTGTGTTCTGTGCTTGAGAGCCTGGGCACACATGTGGAAGTTAGAGGAAGACTTCCCGGAATTGGGTCTCTCTCACCTTTCACCATGTGGGTTCTGGGGAGCATCCTTACCCACTGGGCCATCTTGGGGCACAACCTGTATTTTACTGTTTTTGGAGACAAAGTCTCATGACATAGCCCTGGCTGGACTTTTGCTTTTGCTGTCCAGTCTCACCTGTTTTGATTCAGAGTGTGGTAGCCATCACCATTCAGAGTTGAAGAACAGTGGTAACCAAGACTACATGGCCCACAGAGCATAATACATCCACTCCCGGGATCTGTACATTACAATACGCTTGCCCCTGCTGGAGTCTGAGAAGCGTTTATACTCCAGGATCTTTACACACTGTTTCTTTTGTATGAATGACTCCAGATTGCCTCATGGCTGGCCCGGGGCCTTCTATTTCTGCTCCACTACTTCCTAAAGAGGCTTTCCCCAACCAGACCACAGTATCAAAATGAGCAAACTCCCTCCCTGCTCCCTCCCGTTTCTATATTGTTATCTGACTGATTTTCCATCTTGGACTTTCTCATGTCCTGAACTGGAGTCGAGGCATCAGTAGTGCCTGACACATGGATGAATGAGGGGGAAGAAAAGGAGGAGGAAAGAAGAAACGGGAAACAAAAACAAAAGCCACATGTAAACAACTAGATGAATAAATGAGCCCTTGAAGGAAATGAGTCCAGGAAAAAAAAAAAAGCTATTTAATATTCGCTCAGTGGTTTTATTAGAGGAAAGAAGCCTGAATGAAAGAGCAGTATGGGGCTGGGGATGTGGCTCAGATGGTAGAATGCTGCCTGTGGTTCAACCCCACCACCACATAGGAAGATGTGGTGGATCTCTCTCACCAGGGACCCCGCTCTGGGAGAGGGGCAGAGGCTGGAGAACCAGCAGTTCAAAGTTGTCCCCAGCTATAGAGAATGTGAGGCTGGCCTGAGATGCATGAGACCTCATCTCAAAATTAAGCAATAAAGGAAGAACAGCATAGAGGGTCCAGGAGCAAGGATGTTTGAATATTTTTGTTTCTAACTTTTCTAATTTGATATTTCTTTCTCAGCTAAAAATCCAACAGATTACAGTGTCTTTTCCTTACTACATATTTAACCCATTACTCTTGGTTCGTCTTGAATTCTGAGTTTTCACCCTTGATGCTAGTATGATATTGGACACAGTTTTAGCTAGTAGTGGGCTTTGTCAAAATGGCTTTTCAAAAGTAAAACCAGGGCAAGTGAGATGGCTCATTTGGTAAAACTGCCTGCTATTAAGCCCGATAAACTAAGTTCAATCCCTGAGACCCACGTAGGAAAAAAGACCCAACTTCTGAAAATGACTTTCTGACCTCCGTATGTTCACAGGGCACATGTGCACCCCTGTTCTTAAATAGTTGTAAATAAATATAATAAAACCACTGTTTTCAATTGCTAGTAATAGCACCAACAAACATTTTAACCTTTACTTAACCTTAATTCCCATCAAACTTCAGAGGACGCTTTCCCTTAACTTAATAGATATATATTTCTTTTAAAATAAAACAAGAATGGAGAGAACACGATGGCACATACTAATAATCTCAATATTGTGGAGTGAGGCAAGAGGGTAGTGAGTTTGAGGTCATCCTGAATTACATAGTGAGATTCTGACTCAAACAAACAAACAAACACACCAATGATATGTGCTTCCTTAATATGATAAGGTTGGCGTAACCAGGAAGCCTCAAAATAAGAGAAATATGGTGGTTTATATAGTTTCTTTTTCTTTTTGGGACTGGGCAGCATAAGCTAGCCTTGGACTTGCTTTGTTCCTATGGTAACCTACAATTTTTTGAAATGGAAAACCAGGGAAATGGAAACCCTTGTCTTAAATAGATAAGCTTCATTATTCAATAAACAGTGTGAGCAGGAGCCACAGACAGGGCCTACAGCAAGGAGAGTTTGGCGGGGAATTGGGGTGGGAGGAATACAGAGCAGCCATGCTTTTGGTTAGTGAGGAAAATAAACACATTAAAAAAGGGTTCTCTACTGCAAGCCAACATCCTGACACTGTCTCTGCCTTACCTGCTCTGGTAGAAGAGGCTAATGGTCACTGAGCACCCACTCATGTCCGAGCTCTGCCTGACCAGTTCACAAAGCATTCCCCCTCTGGCACACCCCCAACTTGCCATGGAACCCAGACTTAGTCATCACCATCTGTGCTGCCAGCTCCTCTGAACCTCACTGGCACGAACAAAGCTAGTTTCTCTCGCCAGGGAAGTTGATGTACTGTTTGTGCCACACATTCCGGGCACTGATGCTTTTTCCTCCAGCCCTTCGCTCCTCCATCTCTGTGAATAAACTTAGACTGTCTTCACCTCTCCAATCCTGTGAGAGGCATTGTCTGCTCATCGGAGAACACCGGTTGTGTTCTCCAGGGTTTGTGTTGTACAGGTTGAGGCACTCCTTTTCGGGAGGAGAGAGGGTGCTGAAAGCTTGCCAAAAGGAGGCTAAGGAAGCTCATGAAGGCCCTCCTGAGGTCACTTAGGCAGTTGCTGGTGGGGGTGGGGGAGTGAGTGGGGTGGGTAAGCTGCCAGCAAGTTTTGTACAGGGAATTCCAATGACGCATCTTCAATCAGTGCTTGCCCATGCTGGTGTGCTTTTGATGACGCAGCTGCCGCCGGTGGGTGGATAAGTCATTTCCTAGCCATACTCCTGTTACGTGACATCAATAAACTCTCTGGTCGCCAAGCCATATCTGAGAGGAGTCTCTCTTTGGTTTGTCATCAGTACCCTTTCTTGGATGAATAGATATGTGTTCTATTCCTGAGAAAAGTCATATACTATATTCTGTTGTGGGATATTTGCACACTGTGTGACCATGTAGTACTGTGATTGATACAAAGCTGAATGACCAATAGCTAGGCAGGAGGTATAGGAGGGACTTCCCAGCAGAGAGAGGAAGTAGGAGGAGAGATCTAGACACAAGACAGACAGACAGACAGATAGACAGAGAGGGAGGGAGGGAGGGAGAGAGACAGAGGAAGCAGGAATGGGTGGTAAGTGACAACATAGATGAATAGAAATGGGTTAATTTACATTGTAAGAGCTAGTTAAAAATAAGCCTAAGCCCCCCCGACTGATAGCTGGGAAACCAGCATTGGACCGACTCAGACCCCCTGAACATGGGTCTCAGTTAGAAGGCCTGGGCAGTCTAAGGGACCTCTGACAGTGGAACCAGGATGTATCCCTGGTGCACGAAAGGACTTTGGGAACACATTCCCCATGGAGGGATACTCCCTTAGCCTAGAGGCAGGTGGGAGGGCCTAGTCCCTACTCCAAATGACTTGACAGATTTTGTTGATCCCTCCTGGAAGGCAACACCTTCCCAGTGGAGTGGATGGGGAATGGGACAGGATGGGGGGTCGGGGGTTATGGGAGGGAGGGAGAGGGAACTGGGATCAATATGTAAAATAAGAAAAAATTATATATATATATATATCCTAAACTAATGCCAAGTTTTCACTATTATTATTATTAATATTATTATTATTTTGAGACAGGGTTTCTCTGTGTAATAGCCCTAGCTGTCCTGGAACTCAAATTGTAGACCAGGCTGGCCTTGAACTCCCAGAGATCTGCCTGCTTCTGCCTCCCAAAAGTGCTGGGATTAAAGGTATGCACCATCACCATCTGGCATGCTTTCACATTAAAAAAAATCTGGCTATGATAAAGATGGGGCAGAAAAAAAGGACTAAGGTCACTTCTGTACTTTATATACTAATTTGACTTTGATTGTCCCCTATGCAAGGACAACAGACAAATCTGTGAACTATCCCATATTAAAAAAAAAAAAAGTAGGAAAACAAAAGGGGGGACTATTGAGACTATTGGAGGGACAGAGGAAACGGGATAAAGGGAGGCATGAATATTATGGAATGATCCAAGAACAGTACATTTACACATGAAAACATAATGAATCCTAACTTTCTTTTTACAAATAATGTATGCTAGTAACGACACAAAAGAAATCTGGCTGATTTCCATGCCTTAGTGTGGAAAGCACATTAAAGGAGACGATTGCTTTCCTAAGGATGGCCATTAAAATGTTCAGGAAAAAAACCCCTGAGGCCCTAGTAGTTACAGTGTCTCCTATAGGCTGATGCAGCGATGGGCTCCTGTCAGCACATTTGTGCCTTACACTATTATCAAGACAAGAGAAGATCAGAATGAGGTAAGCACTGGAATTACAACAGTAACATGCCAGTTTGATTCCAATTACTCACACTCTGTTTACTGGTCTCCATCTCTCTATCGTAGTGAGACTGGACCTTTCTTCAAATTTCTCTTCAAGGCACAGGTTCCTGTAAATTGTAATTGGTTCATTAGTTACTTATTCTGTCTAATTGGGGTCCCCAAGAGAACAGCCTGTGACTTAGCTTCTGGACAACTGAGCACGAGGATAGTGGGAGATAAATTTCCATAAATTCTAACGGGATCCTTGTTCAATGGCCAGGGGTGTGGGAGGCTAATGGTGAAGGTCCCTGGGTAGAGGAAAGAAAAAGACAGCTGAATATGGTAAAGACCTCTAGATTTTGAGGCATTACTCTGCCACCAATTAACAGTTTCCTTCTGCAGAATGAGTAGGAAGTTCTTAGATTTTTTTTTTTTTTAATGTATATGAGTGTTTTGCCTGTATGTATGTAAGTCTTGGAAAAGCAAACTTAAAAAAAACCAAATCAAAAAACAAACAAACAAACAAAACCAACAAAAACTGGGTTCAATGGTTAAAAGCACTGGCTGCTCTTCCAGAGGTCCTGAGTTCAATTCCCAGAAACCACATGGTGGCCAGAACCATCCGTAATGACATCTGGTGCCCTCTTCTGGACTGCAGGTATGCATGCAGACAGAACACTGTATATATCATAAATAAATCTTAAAATAAAATAAAATAACCCCCATGCTTTTCTGAAAAGTGAGGCACCAAGCTGGACGTTGGTGGTACACACTTTTAATCCCAGCACCAGGGAGGCAGAGGTGAGTTGGAGGCCAGCCTGGTCTACAGAGCTAATTCCAGGACAGGATCCAAAACAATGCAGAGAAACCCTGTCTGGAAAAACCAACCAACCAACCAACAAACAAAAATGTGAGGTGCCAGGACCAGCAAGATAGTTCAGTGGGTAAGGGTTCTTGTTGCCAAGCCTGACAACCTAAATTTGATCCCTGGAACCCAATAGTGGAAGGAAGGAACTAAATCCTACAAGCTGTCCTTTGTGACACATTCACGAAGTCACACACACACACACACACACACACACACACACACACACACTCTCTCTCTCTCTTTCTCTCTCTCTTTCTCTCTCTCTCTTCTTTCTCTCTCCTCTCTCTCTCTCCTGCCATGTGAAAATAAACATTTAAAGGTGAGGTAAAGAAGATCATAGTGGTCATAGTGGTCAAGCTGGGACGGTGAGGTGGAGGTGGGGTGTAGTTATAGCTTATCAAGGGAACACTGGCCTAGCATGTGTTCAATCCCCAATGCTTCATAAAAAGAAAAATGCTAAATTGATTAACTTGGAGAAACTAACACCATTGTGCCCAGGGGCATATGGCTTTTTCATGTCTTCTCACACAGGGAATAAGTCACTTGATGACTGAATAACCCATTATTTGCTAAGAAAAAGCCGATTTTCAGATCCTGGCAGGCATCTTTCATGGCTAATACACTTCCCTCTCCGCAGTCCAGTTCTGCTTGGATTCATGAGAGGCTCGCTTATGGTTCTCTGTGAAGTTACTCTCTACAAGGTCCTTTCAGACAAACCACTCTCTCTACCCCCCCCCCCCGGCATTTGGCTTAGCATTCAGTCCTGTCCTGATTCCTTCACCTTGAGAAGATGTACAGGCCTGATGGCACCGGCCTGTAATTCTAGGTAACCTGGGGTCCTGATGCAGAAGGATCTAAAATTTCAATCCAGCCTGGGCTAGAAGGATGCTCAAGGTCACAGCTCTGTCCCCCAAAGTAACAAGGCTGGGGATGAAGCTATGTGGCGTATTTCCTTCCTGGCATGATCAACGTTGTAGTTTCCATCCCCCCCCCCCCCCCAAAGATTTCCCACTAGGATCTAAGCTCTACCCATCTGTCTGGTCTAGGATGCTGAGGCCCAGGAGGGAGGGGCGTTTGGCCTTGTGCTTGGTTGAGGTCTCTGGGATGCAGTGGGAGCTCATTGAACACCGATGGGGGCGACCCCCAGGGCAACCTCCACCCTCCACCCTCCACCCATCGCGACCTCCCGGCTCTCACCCACCATCCCCGCAGCAGCCCGGCGCTGAGCTCCGCCCAACCGTCTGCGTCGCGGCCCCGCTCTGCCCCGGGCACCGCGCCGGAGTGACAGCGCCGCCGCCACCGCCACAGCCGTTAGCCCCGCGCCGTCGCCAGCCGGCTTTCCGTTCCGAAGGGTCCGTTGACGGAGGAAAACGTGCCCGGCGCCCGCTGCTCGCTGCGTCCGCCCCGCACGCTCCACCTACCGGGGAGGCAAGGGTCCCCTCCGGGGCGGCAGGCCGCCCGTGTCCTGCTCCTTACCTGGCCACCAACCGACCAGCCGCAGTCTGGGGTCCTCGGGAGCGCCCCGAACGTGCCAGCGCCCCGAGCCTTCACGGGGTAACCGTCCTGGGCCCCGCCATCCTCCGCGCCGCCGTTAAGAGTGTGGTGGCATTGCTGCTTTAAGAGCGGTCGATGCCCCTCGCGCCTCCACACCCCCGGGACTGCGCACATAGGTGCAAAACCAATGAGTTCGCCTTCTCTCTTAAAGGACTTGTGGGGGTTTGGTGCTTCGGGGTCATAAAAGGTCTGCTGCCCCATTGGTATTTTGGGGAAATACTCAGCCCACAAGACTAGGTTTGGGAGGCGGCGGAAGAACAGGGTTGCGATGGCCCGGAGCTGTGGCAGGGTTATTATAAAGATCGAAGTTGAACCTCTCAAAAAGGGTATTGCAATGGACAAACCCACATTTTTGCAAAGGGGTGCAACTGAGCTAGGGAACTTCAAATTAAAAGCAAGTAGGCACGCGCACACACACACACACACACACACACACACACACACACTCACACACACATATAAAGCCAGGGAGTGGTGGTACACTCCTTTAATCCTAGCATTCGGGAGGAAGAAACAGGCAGATCTCTGTGAATTCAAGGCCAACCTGGTCTACAGAGCAAGTTCCAGGACAGCCAAGGCTACACAGAGGAACTCTGTCTCAAAAAAAAAAAAAAAAAAAAAAAAAAAAAAAATCTGTGTGTGTGCGCGTGTGTGTGCGCGTGCGTGCGTGCGTGCGTGTGTGTGTGTGTGTGTGTGTGTGTGTGTGCTCGCGCCTGTGCCTCCTGTGCCTGAATGTAGAGGCCAGAAGAGGGAATCCAGAGTCCCCGGATCTGGAGCTATAGGCAGTTGTGAGTTGTCTGGTCTGAGCGATGAGAACTGAACTCAGGGCCTCTGGAAGATCATCAAGCACTCTTACCAGTCAAACCAGTCCTGGTTTTGGCTTTTTCAGACAGGGGTTAGGGTTAGGGTTAGCATTAGGGTTAGCGTTAGGGTTAGGGTTAGAGCCTCACTCTGCAAAGCAGACTAGCCTTGGACTAGTAGTCCTCTTGCCACAGTGCTGAATTATAGGCACGGATATCTAATTCATACATTGTTTGTTTTTTTGAGACAGGGTTTCTCTCTGTAACCCTGGCTATTTTGCAACTTACTCTGTAGACCAGGCTGGCCTTGAACCTCTTATCTAACTCCTTTTGAGACTTAAGATCCATCCATGATTGATCGTATGGTTCTTTGTCAGTTAAGACATTTGGTTTTATTTTGGTTTTGGTTTTTCTCTGTGTAACAGTCCTGGCTGTCCTGGAACTAGCTTTGTAGACCAAGCTGGCTTCTAACTCACTGAGATCCACCTGCCTCTGCCTTCCAAGTGCTGGGATTAAAAGTGTGTGCCACCAGTGCCTGGCCATTTGTTATTTTTAAAAAACTGAACCTTTATCTTGAAAAATGGGGCTAGGCTCTTTTGGGTCATCAATAAGTTCCCAAGCCATAACACAGAGATTTCTTATTAGTTTTAAATACTAGGTCTAGTTTAGGCTTGTTTCTGGCTAGCTCTTTTAACTTAAATCAATCCCTTCCTTTTATCTACCGTTTGCCTCTGGCTTATTACCTTTCTTTCATTCATATATATCTCTTACGTTCACTGCTTGTCTATGTCTGGCTGGCAGCTGCCTGGCTTCTTGCTCCAGGAGTGTCCCTTATCCTTTCCTTCTTTTCTCATTCTTCCTTTCTCTTGAGCCTAGATTTCTCCTCCTGTTTATTCTCTCTGCTAGCCCTGCCTATTCTTTCTTTTTCTAGTTATTGGCTGTTCAGCTTTTTACTAGACCAATTAGGTGCCTTAGGTAGGCAAAGTGAAACAGATGTAACACATCTTTACATAATTAAACACATATCCCACAAATCCTTATGTCATTAAACAAATGCAGTGTAAACAAATATAACACATCTTTGCCTAGTTAAAATAAAGTTCTACAACAGCTAGGTTTTTATATTTTGTGCTTTAAAATTACTTTGATTATGTGAGTCTGTGCGTCTAAGTGGAATGTGTTCAAGTGAGTATATGTGTGTATCTGAGTGGGTGTGTACAAGTGAGTTTGTGTCTGTGTGGGTGTGTGCATGTGAATGTATGTGTGTGTGGGGGTTGTGCTTGTGAGTGTAAGTGCCTTCAGAGGACAGAGGTGTCATCAGAACCTCATGGAGCTGGAGCCAAAGGCAGTTGTGAGCCAATACACAGAGGCGCTGGGAGCTACACTCTGGCCCTCTGCAAGAGCATGAAGTGCTCTTAACTGCCAGCCATCTCTCCAGCTCCCCCTAGTTTCTTTTTTTCCTAGATGGGATTTCTCTGTGTAGCTCTGGCTGTCCTGGAACTTGCTTTCTAAACCAGGCTGGCATCTTGCCTCTGCCTTTGGAGTACTGGGATTAAAAGCATGCACCGCCACCTCCTGGCACTATTTTTTTCATATGCATGTTTACGTGCTTGTGTGTATGTGCACTACATACATGGTTGATGTCCAAGAGGGGCCGGAAGAGGGTGTCAGATCTTCTGACATTGGAGTCACAGCTAGTTATGAGTCGCCATGTGAGATCTGGGAACCTCTGAGTCTTCTCTCCAGTCCCCTAGTTATTTTATTTTTGGTTTTTTGAGGCAGGGTTTCTCTGTGTTGCTTTGGAGCCTGTCCTGGAACTTATCTGTAGACCAGGCTGGCCTCAAACTCACAGAGATCCACCTGCTTCTGCCTCCTGGGTGCTGGGATTAAAGGTGAGTGCCACCAATGCCTGGCTAATTATTTTATTTTTAAGACAGAGTCTCTCTATGTGGCTCTTGATGGCCAAGAACTCTCTGTGTAGGCTAGGTTAGCCTCCAACAGAGATCTGTCTGTCTCTGACTCCTGAGTGCTGAATTTAAAGGCATGCACCTGTATACCTGGTTCCCCTAATTTTTCTTTTTTCGTTACATTTATGTGTGTGTGAGCATGTGTGTGCATAGGTAGCATAATATGGATATGGAGGTCAGAGGGCAACTTGCAGGAGTCATTTCTCTCCTATCATATGGGTCCTGGGGGTTAAACTCAAGTTGTCAGGTTTAGTGGAAAGCACCTTCAGATAATGAGCCCTGTTATTGTTTTTTCATTTTTTAATTAGCATATAAAACTGTGGGTTTCCTTAGGATATTTTCAAACATACATATCTTTGTGCTTTCTTATATTCATGCTCCCTGTTTACCCTTCCTTATGTGTTTCAGAAAAAGAGGGAGCCAGGCTTCAGGGAACCAAGGACTTTCCAAGAGTCCAAGGTTCTGAGTCAAGATCTCATGTTATTCTTATTTTTAGATTTATTTTATGTGATAGGTGTTTTGCCTGCCTGCCTGCCTGTATGTCTGTGTACCACATGCATGCAGTGCCCACACAAGCCAGAAGGGAGCATAGAATTCTCTGGAACTGGAGTTACAGACTGTTGTAAATTGCCATGTGGATCTAGGAACTGAATCCAGGTGCTTTGGAAGGGCAATCAGTACTCTTAACCACTAAGCCATCTCCCCAGGCCAAGATCTTAAGTTCTTTGGGCTAGGGATGGGGCTGAGTAGTAGAATGTTTGATTAGCATGCTCAAGACCCTGGGGCTGGCTTCTCAGGACCACAGGAGGACAAAAAAACAATACTGCCCCTGTCGGTGGACTTGGATTTGTGATTAGGAACAATCCTCTTATAGTTGGTTCTTGGCTCAGGATGGTTAACATTACTGCCCCCTGACATTTCCAAAAATTTCTACTTTGGCTTATTGGACATAATCAAAGGGAAAGCAATTGTGCTAAGTTTATTATTAAACAAAAATAAGTTTTTGTGTTTGCATGATGTATTTAACCATCACTAGGAATGAAGTACATATTCTCTTAAAAAAATTAACTTATTTTATGTTCATTGTCATCAGATCCCCTGCAGCTGGAGTTACAGACAGTTGGTGCTGGGAATTGAACTTAGGTCTTCTGGAAGAGCAGCCAGAACATTTAACCGGTGGTACATCTCTCCAACCCCAAAGTGCACATTCTTAAGAACTTTCCTTTTATAAATATTTACTTACATATTATGTATAGTGTTCTGCCTGCATGTATCCCTGCAGGCCAGAAGAGGGCACTAGGACTCATTACAGATGGTTGTGAGCCATCTTGTGGTTGCTGGAAATTAAACCTCTGGAAGAGCAGCCAGTGCTCTTAACCTCTGAGCCATCTCTCCCGCCCTTAAGAACTTTTCTTAAGATTTTTGAAAAATTGCCGGGTGATGGTGGCGTACACCTTTAGTCCCAGCACTTGGGAGGCAGAGGTAGGTGGATCCCTGTGAGTTGGAGATCAGCCTGGTCTACAAGAGCTACTTCCAGGACAGGCTCCAAAGTAATACAGAGAAACCCTGTCTCAAAAAAAAAAAAAAAAAAAAAAAAAAAAATTAATTCATTATTTTGGAAAATCTGACATTTTCCTTTCCTTTTGGTATTATCATTTCCCCATGATAGTTTTGCTAACCATGTTCTAAATTACTTCAATAATGATGCTAAAGAGAAGTATGGTATACACTCTTGTTGTTTTGTAATGCATGGACATGTTTATGAGCATGTTTGTGAGGATGCATGTTGTAAGAATTTAGCAGAGTCGCTTTATCGGGGTAGTTATTAGAATGAACAGGCATTTTTTTCTTTTAAGTAGTACTTTGACCTTGAAGAATCCTTGTGGAAAACAATGATTGTTTTATTGAAAGGGCACTGCAGCCATCCCATGATTGATCATAAGACACCTCAGGCACACCTGAGGCTCTTGCATTATTGTGTATTGCAAAAGATACATAATAACGGACCAGAGACATGAGGGCATGTGATG